AGCTCTGACATTTTAAACTCTAAGGTCCTCTTCCTGCTCTGACATCCTGTGTTTGGTGTTCAAAGAGCCTTCCTGCATACGACATTCTAAGCTCACTGAGCTAAAGTCTTTCAGAGTTCCGCCAAGGTAATACACTTTCAAATAATGAAACATGATATATTTAGATAAGCCTCTTTCTCCTCTCTGGGTCTCAGTTTCTTCTTGTGTTAAATGAAATGAGGTACTTAGGCAATAACTAGCTGGTTACTCTGGACCTTCCTCTTTCTGGTCCTAAACTTCTCAGTAAAATGAAATGAGTCCTGCTAGATGACCTTAACTAGTCTACTAATCTGTCCTAACACAAACATTTACTCAGAGACTGTGCCTTAGCTTTCTCGTCTGTAAAACAGGGCTGCTACATGGGCAGCTAGATGGTTCAGAGGGTAGAGTGCTAGGCCTGGAGTAAGGAAGACCTGAGTTCAAGTTCAGCCTCAGACACATATTAGCTGTGTGACCATGGGTAAGTCACTTAACCTATGTTTACCTTAATCCATTGGAGAAGGAAAAGGCAAACCACTCTACTACCTTTGCCAAGAAAACCCCAATGACAATATTGATGGGTTATGGCTCAAGGGGTCATGAAGAGCCAAATGCAAATGAACATCTGAAGAACTTGAGGGGATTAGGACAGCAAGTGGTTAATTGTGGGAATTGAGTGAACCGCACTGATTCCATCTTGTAACTCAATTCTGGAGTTAGTTCAGTTCCCTTTCTGTTAAGTATGCGTCTAGTCCAATTTCTGTCTTGTGAAATTTTATTCAGTCGTGGGACTTGGAAGAAAACCCTATTGCATTGTTTGAACCTAGCCTTGCATGACTGGGAAGCTGGACCACCTTTCCCTGCTATTTAGAGACCCTTACACAAGGACTTAGGTTATACTGACCAGAAACCCAGTTAGATCCAAAGACTGATGGAAGGAGTTTTCTCACAATGGTACGTCTCAAGCAGCCCATATGTCTTCTCTGAAAATTGATCCTGTGCAGATCAATCAGTTATCATTTCCATGTTCCTTTGATCGAATACAGAGACTTAGGGGGAGTGGGAAACCTCTTCTTCTGAATTCAGGGAATTTCACCTGTTCACTCTCCCCCTCCCAACTTGAAAAGTCCTTAATCTTTCCTCCAGTTAGAAATCAGATTACCTAATGTTGTATTGTTTCCTTTTAATTAATTGGCTTTATTTAATTGTTTTCAATGTCTAAAAGTCTGTCTCCTCCTGTGTTTGGGGTCCACCCCTAAGCTGAGGAAGGGGCCTGGTCCTGGTTTGTTGAGCAATTGGCTTGCATTGCTTGAAAAATTGATGAGCTCAGAAGATCAAACCTTTGGGGTTTTTTGGTCATTTCATCTTTCACCCACCACAGTTTTTGGAAGAGCCAGCTAGGTTGAGTCATGATACTGAACCCCACCATCCTGGCCACCCCCAGCTGACAACCTTTCAGAAAACGTCTCTAGAGATCTCCAGGTAACCTTCACTGAGAGCTTTTTGTGAGGAAGACAGCCTTAGGCTGGAGGCAGGAGTCTTACTCTCCATGTCTTTCTCTTCCAGCTACTATAAGGTTTAGGGTATAATTTTATTTTTAGGTTTTGAGGCTTAGAAATTTGCCCCAAGGATTGAGGAAGTTTAGAAATTTGCCTTAGGGATTGGGGTGGTTTAGGATGTAGGTTAAATTAAGGTTTAGGTTTGCCCCCAGGAAAGGGGAGGTTTAGGAAGTTTGTCTCAGGGATAAGGATGGTTCAGGTTAGATTAATTTTGCCCCGGGATGTGGGATGGTTTAGGATTAGGTTTTCCCCCAGGAATGGAGAATTATGGGTTCCCATAGTAGCAAAATACCGAAGGATTCCCCTTTGGAAAAATTTATTTTGGTATGAGACCAGGGGAAGAGCATGCTGTTAAAGTGACAGCCCCTTAGGAAAATTCTTGGGCAGCAAGATGGCACAGTGGATAAAGCACCAGACTTGGAGTCAAGAAAACCTGAGTTCAAATCCAGCCTCAGACACTTACTAGCTGTGTGACATGTCACTTAACTAGGTGGGCAAGTTACTTAACCCCTTTTGCCTCAACTCCTCATCTGTCAAATGAGTTGGAGAAGGAAATAGCAAACCACTCCAGTATCTTTGCCAAGAAAACATCAAATGGGATCAGAAAGAGTCAGACACAATTGAAAAATGACTCAACAATAACAAATACAAAAAATTCTTATTGGTCTAGAAACAGGTGTAGATTCCCATACAGGGGTGGAGGTAATGACTAAAAGATAGAGCTCTCAAATTATGCTAAAGTATATAAAAGTCCAAAGGGGTCCCAAAATTTTCCTGAAGAAGGGACCTTCAACTACTATTGGAAAATTGTGTGCGATAACCTTTTCTGTCTTAATCATTTTGTCTGTGTTTTTGTGTCTTTGTAAAATATAGGATTTGGTCCTAGAGGTGAAAGGGAGCCAGTGGAGTTTATTGAATGAAAGGTGGGGTGAGGGATGATATGGTCAGACTTGCACTTTAGGAAGATCAATTTGATAGCTGATGGAAGATGGACTGAAGTGGGCAGCAATGGGAGGCAGGCAAGGTCAACCAACAGACTACTACAATAGTCTAGGTGTAAGGTGATGAGGATCTACATCAGGGTGATGGCAACATCAGAGAAGAAAATGGGACATATACAAAGGTATTATAAGCAGAATTTGGCAACAGATTGGATATGGGGTAGGACTCTAGGAAAATGGTGATGCTCTTGGTAATAGGGATGATAGGAAGAGGAGAAGATTTGGAGAGGGGGAAAGTTAATGAGTTCAGTTTCCAACAAACTGAGTTTATTATGCCTATGGGACATATAGTTCAAGATGTCCAATAGGCATTTGGAGATGTGAAGCTGGAAGAAAGGTTAAGGTTGAATAAGGAAATAGAAGAACCAGCAGGACAGAGAATATAATCGAATCCATGGGAGCTCATCAATGAAATGACAGAAGGTGAGTGGCCTGTGTACTCTTCATTCTTTAGGATGCATGCCTTATCATTGCAACTACTGGAATTTTAAAGTCTTTCAAATAGGTTTTTCTCTATAATGTTATCATTGTACAAATTATTCTCTCAGTTCCACTTACTTCATTCTGATCAGTTCATAGAAGTCTTCCAGGTTCCACTGAAACTATTCATTTCATCATTTCTATGGCATAATACCTGTTATGTTCATATACCACAATTTGTCTGCCCATTCCCCAGTAAAAGGAAACCCCCTTAGTTTCCCTTTTTGGCCAAGAATATGAAAATATATGCATATACATACACATATACATACACACATATGTATATATCCTTTTCCTCTTCCTTTCATTACTTCAGTATATAAACCTAGTAGTGGCATAGCTGAGCCAAAGTTTAGTTGACTTTAGGGGCATATTTCCAAAATTACTTTCCAGAATGTCAGGACCAATTTCCAGCTCTACCAACAGTGCATTACATGTTTAGGAGTTTCAGTTGTGTCCAACTCTTCATGACTCCACTTGGGGTTTTCTTTGCCAAGAAAAGATCTGGAGTGTCATTTCCTTCTCCAACTCATTTTACAGGTGAAGAAACTGAGGCAAACAGAGGTAAGTGATTTGCCCAGAGTTACATAGCTAATAAGGGTCTGAGGCCAGATTTGAACTCAGAAAGATGAGTCTTCCTAATTCTAGGTCCAGTACTCTATCCACTGCACCACCTAGCTGACCTAAGAACACATTAATATACCTGTTTTCCTATAGCACCTCCAACATTTGTCATTTTCCTCTTTTGTCATCTTTGCTAGTCTGATAGGCATGAGGTAGAACCTCAAAGTTACTTTAATTTCCACTTCTCTAATTATTTATTTAAAACATTTTTCATACAATTGCTAATAGCTTGGATTTCTTCCTTTGAAAACTACTTGTTCATACCCTTTGACCATTTGTCTATTAGGGAATGGCTCTTAATCATATAAGTTTGAATCAATTTCTTATGTAACTTGGATATGAGTTTTATTACATTGGCTTCCTGCAAAGTCTTATCCCTTAGTTACCTCTTTCGCTTCTAACTATATTAGATTTGTTTGTGCAAATGGGAAAGCACTTCAGAAGCACTATCAGCAGCAGCAGAGACACATGAACATTATTCTATTGTGTAATTTTCTATCTTAGGAATGCCATGGAGACATCAATGTCCTAAACATTAGATCACAAATGGTCTATTTCTTATATGAAGAGAATAAGGTCTTTTCTACTTAACCCAAAGAAGGACCCAACTCTTAGTCACAGCCCCTAATAGCCTGGTACTGATAACCAAACCGGGAACTATGCCTTCTCTGGCGCTCCTCAGATATTTCCTAAGACTTTGAGGGAAAGCTCAGTGTGGTTCTTAATGTTCATCTACTAAATTACTCTTCACTGGGAATATGGACCAGACCTATGATTTTCTTGGCTTAATTTAATGTTGGTGAGGAAGCTCCCTGTGCCAAGGCAAGTTTGTATCTTCCCCACGACTGGTGTTCTCAGAGGGTTGCGCAGAACACCGAGGGGTTAAGTGGCTTATCCCAGAGTCACACAACCAGCATCAGGTCTTCTTGAGGGTAGAGACTAATTCACCCTAGAATTTTTATCTGGATCTAGAATTGGAAAGTACCTCAAAGGTCATTTAGTTTAACCCTTTCATTTTACAGATGAGGAAACTGAGACCCTGGCTGAGATCACTCAAGTAACAAGCAGCTGAGATGTTGTCTGACTCCATAGCCAGTGCTCTTTCTGCTGTGAAGGAATATAGGGCAGCTGGGTGGCACAGTGGATAGAGCACCGGCCCTGAAATCAGAAGGACCTGAGTTCAAATCCTGCCTCAGACCAAACACTTGACACTTACTAGCTGTGTGACCCTGGGCAAGTCTCTTGACCCCAACTGCCTAAAATAAATAAATGCATTCCTCACTTTCCCTCCCCCCACCCTTTTCCTCATTACCTTTCAATTCACTGAATCAAGGAATAGCTTGTTAAGTCTTGGTCTTTCTCTGAGTCTGTTTCTTCAAAGTGCTTCTGGATTCACCATTTTTACTAAAGGGGTCAACTCCTGTCAATACTGATCATCTCTGTGTCCAGAGGACAATGACCACCAGATTGTGGAGAGAACGTAAAACTGTGTCAGGTGAACTCTAGTTGAAAGAACAAGGAGGTGTGTAGCCTGGAGAAGAGAAGATTGAGGGAGGAGGGTATGATGACTGTCTTCACATATCCAAAGAGTCATAATGCCAAAGAAACTTATTCTGCCTGTCCCTACAAAGTAGACCTAAGAACAATGAGGAGATCTTTCAGGGAAGCAGAACTGGGCTCACTATTGAGCAGAATTTCCTAATAACCAAAGCTATCAGCTATGTGGCACAGTAGATAGATAGAGCACCAGCCCTGGAGTCAGGAAGACCTGAGTTCAAATCCAGCCTCAGACACTTATTAGCTGTGTGACCCTTGGCAAGTCACTTGATCCCGATTGCCTCGAAAAAAAAAATAATCAAAGTTGCCCAAAAGTGCAATGGGTTTCCAGGTTAGGTAGTGAGCACCCTGTCACTAGAAGTATTCAAACAAAGGTGAATAATCCCTTTTTGTCAAGAATGTTGGGAAAAGAGTCTTGCTTTAAGTAGAAGCTTGAACTCAATACCCTGACTGTATCTTCCAGCTCCAAGATTCAATGATCCTCTAATTTTAATACATTCAACCAACCTACCATATCACTAAATTGGCCAAACTGCCTGACTGTGCCAATAGAGCCTATGCCAGGGGTGTGCAGGAGGTAGCTCATATGGATTCCCTGAGAGCTGATCATTAAATTTCCGGTATGATCATTTACATCTTGGAAATCAGCCAGTATGACAAAGCAAGGCTTGATTTACTGTTTTGTTGATGGTCTAAGCTTAAGTGATAGGAAAAATGTTAATAATGAAGATTAAATTTAAAAGTGTGCCATTGGTATAGTTCTGAGGGTTTTGGAGAGCTGGTTGTTAAACATTTACCAGCATACAAGTGGACTGTCCACTACTAAGTGCAGATGTGAAGACACAGGAAGAGCAGGTTAATGGACTCACCTTTCTCCTCTGTGTACTTCCCTGTTCTTAGGTCACATCTAATTGCTCCTCCCTGAAAGAGTGCAAGAGGCTGCCGGCAGTACTTGTGCATCTTAAAAGTTAAAGGATAGAAATGAATTTTTTTTAATGTTAAAAATTGTTTTTACATGTAATTAAGGGGAAAATGTTTTTTTAAGTTAAAGGAAGTTCCACAAAGTGGTTACGGCATGTAATTCACCCTAAAATATAGTATTCTTCCAGTACCTCATTGGGGTATGGCGGTGGTCCCGGATTCTTAAAGTCCAGACATCACAAGAAGTCACAGGGCCTGGGGAGTCTCCAGAGAAAGCCAGACAAGGAGGCAGGGGCTCTGCCCCAAAACTCAGCTTCCTCTACCTCACTCTCCCAGGCCTGAGCCCAGTGTAGCCCCAGAGGCAGAATACCACTAACAACAAGCTTTCTTTTAAAAAAAATAGTATTTTATTTTTCCAATTTTCCAATGTAAAGACAATTTTTAACATATATTTTTTAAAAATTTTCAATTCCAAATTTTCTCCCTTCCTTCTTCTCCTCCCCCCTCCCTAAAAAGGTAAGAATTTTAAATAGGTTATATATGTGCAATCATGTAAAACGTATTTCCATATTAGTTATGTTGTGAGAGAAGAAACAGACCAAAAGAAAAAAAACACAAAAAAGATAAAGAAAAGGAAAGTAGTTTGCTTTGATTTGCATTCAGATTCCATCAGTTCCTTGTCTGGAGGTGGATAGCATTTTCCATCATGAGCCCTTTGAAAAACAACTGGGTTGCAAAGAAAACATCGGGAGCCCTGTACATTCTGGCACTATGCTTGTTTTCACCCACCAGATAGAGTCCAGAAACCCCAACTGCCAGTCAATTAGAGAATCTCCTGACATCAAAAATAAAGATTTGTTTAGAAAACAATGTACAATATACAATCATGAAAAAAGCACTAAGGATAGAAAAGATTTGTTACAATGTATATTTGTATTTAACTCACGATTCATTTTGCTCCTGCTGGAGTGGTGGATTCAAATGAAGATGCTAAAATATTAAGTATGTGGAAATGAAGAGCATCTGATATCACCAATGTATTAGATGAAATTGACCCTAGTTGGAAAAACTCTGAGAACAATATTCAGTGGATTAGATTATCTTGAGCAAATGAGATAATATCTGTAAATAGCTTAGTGCAGTCAGTGCAAAGCATATAGTTGGTGCTTAATAAATACTTATTCTCTTCCTCCTTGGTGGTTTGAGCAGAAAGGTACCTCTAGCAAAAGAAGCCAAGGGAAGAACTGACTTGTTAGCCCCTGAAAAGGCTTTGGGTGAGTTAATTAAGGACTATGTTCAGCAGCTCTTTGAACTAACAGATGATGAGAGTCAAAGATTAACTTATTTGTCTATTAAGGTACCTATTGAATGCAGCCGTTCAATGAATAGGTTATTGTTGGAGTCCAGGCTCCAGGAGAAATCAAACTGGAAATTGTTATTCAGTCTTGTCCAATTCTTCATGACCATTTGGGGTTTTCTTGACAAAGATACTAAGAAACTGAGACAAACAGGGTTAAGTGACTTGCCCAGGGTCACACAGCTAGTAAATGTCTGAGGACAGATTTGAACTAGGGTCTTCCTGACTCCAGACCTAATACTATATCCACTGTGCCACTGAACTACCCAAAACTCTGTGTGTGTGTGTGTGTGTGTGTTTGTGAGTGTGCGTGTGTGTGTGTGAGTGTGCGTGTGTGTGTGCGCAGAAAGACAGAAAGAGAGAGAGAGAGAGAATACAAAGGCACCTATTGGTGTTTATTTGAGATATGTAGAACAAGATAGCATATGTATGAAAACATTTGGAGACACTGAGGACTCACTTATCTAAAAGCAACCTGATCAAATATGGCCTTAGATACTTACTAGCTATATGACATTGGACAAGTTACTTGATCTCTATTTGACTCATTTTCCTCAACTGTAAAATGGGGATAATAATAGCACCTACTTCAAAGGGTGGTTGTGGGGATCAAATGAGATAATATTTGTAAAGTGCTTAGTACAGTGCTTGACACACAGTAGCCACTATATCAATGATCACTACTATTATTAAGTAAATAATATACAATTTGATACATAGATTTCAAGAGAGCAGGGGATTTGTCAATTACACACTTTAAGATAATGCATAGCAATAATAACAAAAACAATGCCATAATGTAAGGCAAAATTATCTATTAAGAAGTGAAGGGAGGACTTTGATCTAGATGGATTTACAAGTGAATTCTATAAAATATTTGAAGAGCAATTAATACCTAGGTGAGAATTGGCTAAGTGCTATGTTTGGCATGTGTGATTACCCAAACAAGCAAAACTTTCTGTTCTTTACAGCCACCGGCTCATTTTCTCTTTAAGACTCCCTTCCAGGTTCAAAAGGCACTGCAGAGCAAGCTCCAGGATATTACGAAAATTGCCGAAACTCTCTAAACAGCATATCATTCCTATCCACCCCTCCCCCCAGCTTGAGCTAGGGAAAATTTCTTCTCCTGTATTAGTGTACCTTCTCTCAATCTTAAATCATACTTTATAAATTTGGGGTGAACTCATGGTAAGTGGTCATGACTTGATTGGAATTTAACATAGCATAAAAATATAGACAAGTATGAAAGTATAGTGAGATGTGAGATGATTTGCAGCTGAGGAAGGAGTGGAATCTCTCCCTCCCTTCCCCCACATACACTCCTCCTTCCCCCCGGTCAGAGAAAGAACTTGAAAGGAAAATGGATGCAAGAAGAAAGGTGTTGTGTGCTAGATTCTAGTAGTTGCATCAAGCCTGAGTCTACTCTTTACCCCAGTCAGTTTCCACTGGTCTGTCTAGCTATCTTCTCTCATTCGGTCAGCATTTTGCTTCTGCTCCTGGTCTGATCATTTGCACTGTTTCTTCCCTTCTGTTTTCCATGTCCCCAACCAGCTTAGCAGGAGGAGCAAGAACCAAGCCATAGCTGGTACTCCACTCTCTCTCCAGCTCAGCTGAGTGGCTTCTATCTTGTCCTGGGCCCCCTGACCAGCCCCTCCCCTTCCAGTCAGTATAGAAAGTTTGTAAGTAGCCAATATAAAGAAGTAATAGCAGGAAATAAGATTGCAAAGGGAAACCTGGAAGTCATGTGCAAACCATCCCAAAGATCAAAGGAGCATAATGCATAAATTGTATCATATATTAAACAAAATCCACATCACAATAATAGGTGCTGAATCAGGAGAAAGCATCTAGCCACTGTTTGTCAATGTTCTGGTTCTATGATATGTAAATTCCAGACAAAATCCAGACCTCCACAGCTCCAGACCAGCAAAACATCAAAAAGGGGTTAAGTAGTCTGAGATGATGACTAAAGTTTTACTGATAACTTTGAGAGATGACCTAGATATGGTAATGATCTAACCCCAACTCAGCACAGATAATAGTTGGTCTGTTTCCCCCCAAAAAAAATCCTATAAAAATGAGACCTCAAACTCCTGCCCCCCAAATACTCTTCTGTCATCATCCAGTCCATGCTGCCTAGAGCTCCCAACTCTAATCCATGGTTACCTGAGTGTTCTCTGCCTCTCCCCATCTCCATCCTCTTCCTCATGCTGCCTGCCTCAATTCACCACCACCCCATCCCATGGCCCCAAGCTATCTGCCTCTGTATTCCTCTGTATCCCCTGTATCCATTTTTTGCCACTTGTCTCTGCATTTTCTGTGCTGCTCACCCTCATACCCTTTTTGGTCATTAAAGTACGATTGCCACTCTGTTTCCACTATCAACTGTGGACTTTCCCATACTCAAAGTACAAGGCATGCTTGCCCCCATTTCATAATGTCATAAATTAGTTATCAGTTCATCCAGGCACCATGCTAAGAGCTAGGGATACAAAGAAAAGCTAAAGACAGTCCCTGCTCTCAAGGTGCTCAGTCTAATGAGAGAGGCAACATGCAAACAACTATGTACAAATAAGCCATATAAATTGGAAATAAATAACAAAGAGAAAGTACTAGAATTGATGGGAGATCAGGAAAGGCTTCCTACAGAATCAGCTCTCAGAAGCCAGCATACCCCTCCTCCTATGGCTCCCCTTTGCTCCCCTCTCTGAGAACTTTACCTCATGTTTTACTGATAAAATTAAGGCTATTAACTGTGAGTTCTTTGCTGTCCCTTCTTCCTCATCTCATACCACCCAGATGCCTTTTGCCACTATCTATTCCTTTACCCCTATCTCACGTAATGAGGAGTCTCCTTGCCAAGACAAACTCCTCTGCATGCTCATGTAATTCCATTACATCCCATCTTCTCCAGAAGATTGCTCCCCCACCCCCATCACTCTCCCCTCTCGTTTATCTTCAATCTTTCCCCGTCTACTGGCTGTTTCCCTGCTGCCTACAAACATGCCCTTATCTCCCCCATCCTCACAAAACTCTCAATCATCTACCCCCACTAGCTATTACTCCATACCTCTCTTCCCTTTTTGGCTAAGTTCCTTGAGAACCAAGTTCCTTGAGAAGGCTATCTACAATAGATGCCTCCACTTTCTTATTTCTCATTCTCTTCTTAAGTCTTTATAGTCTGACTTCCAACCTCATCATTCAACCAAAACTGCTCTCTCCAAAGTTACTAATGATCTCTTAATTGCCCAATCTAATGTACTTTTCTCAGTCCTCATCCTTCTTGACCTCTCTGCAGACCGACACTGTCAATCACCCTCTTGTCCTTGATACTTTCTTCTTTCTGGG